TCTGATAATGCAGTATGGGCTTTGCCATCAATCATAATAATTTCAATTTTATGGTCAACATAAAATTGAAATTATTACTTACCTTTAAGTAGGATATAGCTTGTTTTAGTTAGCTGTTTGATCTCATTTTTTAATGTCAATTCCTCATTACAAAGAAGGTCTGCAGTTTCCTCTACAAATTTAAATTGCAAAGGCCGACAGTACAAAGTAGATAATGTTTTAGAATTTCTCCAAAGAATAGTCTTTTTATCATTGTCTATAGATGAGAGCTCTAAAGGCACAAAGCATGTAATAAACAGAGACTCCTCACTCTTCAGATTTCTAGTACATTACATGTTTGTTTATAAATACTATGCCCACTTGAGCCATCAAAACCAGCTTTGAGTTACTCTGTTATACTCATTTGCATTTACAACACCAGTCTGTGTCTCTATAAGTCTTGTTGTAGTTTGATCCAGTAGATCTTGAAGTAGAACACTAGCAGTATAGTCAGTTACACAAATGCTTTTAGGATAGCATCCATCTTTGGCCACTCTAACATTATTGTATGCTGGGTAGAGATTGCGTTTCTTTTCATCAGCTTTGTTTTTCATCAGTTGATAAGATGCCTTTGTCAAATTACAATCCAAAATTAGTGCCAAAGCTTCATCAGTAGGCATATAAGATGGAGCAACTTTTCTATACTTCGATCTCAAAGAGGAATCATCAAAATTCAAGGTAGGCCTACCAAGAGAAGTGCTAACAATTGTTGGAGTAGCAGGCGGAACATATGCAGAAGGTATAAAGTCAGAAACTAACCATTTGCATACTTTTTTTCAAATGCTGCAGCTTTGCAGCTAACATCATTCCAACAAGACTTCAAGTTCTTTAAGAATGCAATTAATTTGTTTCTCATATTTTCAGAATCATTTAAGTCTAATTTGACAACTAATTGATCCTAAATTGTTGGATCTTGTATTGACATAATATTGGGTCTAATGCAGTTGCATATATAATGGTACTTCATTGTTATATTATTATTTTTTTAAAATTAGAAAATCAACCTATATATATATATATATATATATATATATATATATATATATATATATATATATATATATATATATATATATATATATATATATATATATATATATATATATATATATATATATATATATATATATATATATATATATATATATATATATATATATCAGGCTTGGTCGGAAAGCGGGAGCGATCGCTCTCGATTGCTGACCACGGTAATAATATTCAGTTGCAAATAGCTGCCTAGATTTTTTTGTCGTTTTGAAAACATTTTAAAAAGCAAAAAAAAAATGTGCAAAAGTTTAATTGGACCAATGAGAGACAATTACAAAAAAAAAAAAAAATTAAGGAAATAAAACATCTTTTAACACAAAAAAACTTAAAGCAAAATAAATTACGTTATAACAAATATTTTAGAAATGTCGCTCTTTTATAATTTTTTAAAAAAATTAAGCAATGTTTTTTTATATAAAGTAACATCTTAAAATTGTTTAAAAAGGAAACAAATGTTCTTTATTTATCAAAGTTTGTAAGTTTTATCTAAGCTTAATTATTTTATATATAAAAAATTTAATTTTGTAATACCTATTTTATGTTTCACGTAGTTTGAAAAGTTTAACATATTTGAAACAATTCCTTCGTAAGATAAACAAATGAAAAAATTCAATCTTTGAATTACTATAGAAATTAAATTAACTAGATAGAAATAAACTAAAAAGGTTAAAAGTACTTTATGACGAGCAAGCGAAACTGCTTCACAATATCGCTGATGATATAAAATCTATAATTTATAATAAGCTTTCAAAATTTTGACAATTTAAATAATATATAGTTAAAACATTTATTTTTGTAAACAAATATTAATAGTTTATAAGATTTACGGCTTTGCAGATGTGGCTCTGAGAATGAGCCATAAAATTGATAATATATTCTTAAAACAATTTATGCTAGAAATCTCAAAACGTAACAAATCGTGAATAATGCAATTTCTAAAACATTTCCACAGAATACTCTAGAACTTTATTTCGCTTAGTCAGCGTTTTTTTTTGAACCAATAGAATTAGTTTGTTCGTTAATTTGGCGAGTTTTTAGAGTTCGCGAATATTTTTATATAATTTTAATAGAGTTCATGAATATTTTATTCTTCCGCACTAAGATGTTTTGAGTGCATTCAAGTTTTTTATGTTTCCATATAAGTCCATAAAACAAAAAATTTTTATTTAATACATAAACTTCAAAATGTTCTCAAAACGACTAAAAAACCTGGCCAGTTTTTCGCAAATAAATATTATTTGGGTGGTCAGTATTCAAAATTGGTCGGGAAGCTCCTGCTTCCCGACCAAGCCTGATTTTTTTTTTAATTTTACTAAGTGATTTTTGTAACATTAGGATTCATGAACAGTATTTATCTTTTATTAAATTGCTTTTAATTTCTTTTTTGCTTGCAGTATGGTTCATATTGTTTTAC